TACATTTCTTTCTGTGACGACAAGAGCAGGGGTTATGCTTTTTTTTTACATTGTTGGTGAGTATTGATCTGCCAGTACCATCCTCTGATGTCATACTATTTTAATCTTAATCTGACATGTTCACACTAAATGTTGTATAAAGAAACCTTTCTTTCTTTCTTTCTTTCTTTCTTTCTTTCTTTCTTTCTTTCTTTCTTTCTTTCTTTCTTTCTTTCTTTCGTCAAACCACTTGCAACGCCCCTCACCCCCATCCTTATGCCATCAGTCATCAGATTACACAAAAGGGCTTAAAACAGGTCATGCAACTGTCATCCACCTTTCATGTCATTGTTTGTATGTGGAGATTATGGGATGAAGTAATCTGGTACCTAACAAGGTCTTCCTTCATCCTTTCCTTTACATGGGATTATTCTCTAAAATATGGCCGTGTGCCTTGTCTGACGTAATTGAATAACAACCACGTCAGACACAAGCATCCCTCCCAATGTCTTTGACAAACAACAAACACAAACTTGGGAAGTGTTTCTGTGCCTGTTGGTTATCCTTTCAGTTTTTTGTTTCTGTTTTGAGAGTTGGTCCGTAGATGATTCTTCTTCTCTTCTTAGCGGTTTTATCTCAGCTGTCTTTTGTGATAAACCAGCGTCGCTCACACACAGTGGATGCCACAAGTCGGCCCCACAGAGATTTGTGAGATGTTCCTATGGAGACAACTAGTTTAGTAACTTAATTCATGATAAATAACTGCAGCTCTATTCCAGAACTTGTCTTAAAAAGGAAATAAAAAGGCCGAACAGACTAAATAGATGCACAAACTGTTTATTGTGTGTTTTGGGGGGCAGATTAAGATTACTAAATTCCCATTGAATTACTATTTGGACAAAAACAAATTCAAAACAACTCCAGTTATATTTGTCAAGCAACAAATCCTTATAAAGTATTTACCTTAATACTGAAGAAGACAGGAGTATCAACGTAAAAAGGCTTTTTCATTCAATAATTTTGTATAATTTTGTTTCTACAAAAAACGTCTTTTTCACTTTTTCATATGGGCCAAGACCCCTGATGTCTTGCAGCAGCCCTAATGAGTATTTTTCTAACTTTATGTAAGTACTACTGAAACAAGGGACTTTAGCATTCTGCTGTGAACAAATAAATTAAACAAAAACCTTCATGGTGGGCAAGTTCAGGCGGTATTAAGTATAGTTAGAATGCTGGAAACCACAGCAATCTTTATTTACCAGTATCCTAGCAGTATGCAGCAGATATTCTTAGAAAAGACTCTTCTTAGTGTCATTTAGAGCTCTGCTAGATGTTGAGAAATAGAATAGGCTCCAAATCTTAACTCCACGATCCTTAGAACATTCAACTCTGCTAATCATTCCAATTGAAGGCAGGCAGGTAGGTGGTGACCACAACAGCAAGAGCAAGTCGCAGGTCAGCAGATTTAATAGCTGGTGTTTAGTCATCTCTAGACTTTAAAACACAATGAAATAGCTAGTAAAGAGAGTCATGGTCCATGTGTAACAAACAAGAAAAGGCAATTCATAAAATTCTTTGGCAGACTATTTTGAGTCTAAGAGACTGGTGTTTGAGATCCCATGCTGTGGGCAGCATCACTGTGGGCCACATGGACACGCCTTAATTCATTTTAATTTCACAAATGAACTCAGAGAAAAAGACAATAAATAACAAAAGATTTTCCCTTTTCCCATCTCACTCAAACAAACCTGAGTCATGAGACAACGGTGACTGACAATCTTGAGATTTCACAACAGAGGACACTCTCCTCCAGCTGTAGGGGTTATTGAGCTGATGTAATCATCTGCCATTTTGGGATTATCTGGTTGACGATCATCTTTCATCCGGGCAATCAGCAGCCAGTCCTTAACATCTGTCCTTCCATGAGTCTAGAAGCATCACACAACCAACTCAGCGTTATGACGTCTGTGTGACTGTGTGGAAAGATGTTTAGTTTTTACATTTGTAGGTGACTTGCAGCGATGACGTCTTTCAGTACTTACCATTAATGCCTCCGTGTCTGTCATTTGACACAAGTAAAAGTTTTTTTACGCACAAGAAAAGATAAACCACTGTTGACCTTTAGCATTGCATGCAATTGGCCTTCTATTGGTTATGCAAGCCAGTGTTTTTGGCACTCCTGGCCCCTGGCTTGCTGACATAACCTTGTCACTGGGCCAAAAAGCAGATCAATTGTTCCTCTGACAGTGAGCTACAACTGATTCATCTCTTTTTTTAAACCTTTGTCCCTTCCCCTGCCTGTCTGGTTTTCCACCCGTGGACGGTCTGAAGGTGCCCAAGGCAAATCGCTAGGCAAGAACCTGATCGATGGGCTTTCATTACACAAAACTGTCTGGTCTGCTTATACATTAGGCAAGTCCGTCAACTCTCAAAGATTGACTGTGACGCTCATGCGAATGGTATTTTTCACACGCTCTCACGCCATTTTCACACTCGGTCAAAAACAAATTTATAATTAATGACGTCACCGCACTAAAAGAGGACACCAAAATCATACCGTCGGAAACAAAAGAGAATCCCAGTAGCAGCAGTAAGGTACAGCCCTTGCTTTTTTCAGAGCCTTAGGCAGACAGTAAGAAATATACATTAATCTCTAATGTTAAAATTACTTTCTCACCTGATGTTGAGGCACTTTTTTTGGGGTCAAATTCACAAGAACCAGACATTGCGAGAACTTCAACATGACTTTTCGTTTTTTTTCCTTTGGTCTGTGGGTGAGCTGCAGAGGCTACCAGAATCCAGCCCACGTGGTATCCTAGATACTATAACTCCCCTCTGTCCAGCTGCACACTTGTTTGGGTTGGCATTAAGCCCAGTCCTGCATCTGAAAACCAAGCAATACAGCCACCCACATCTACGTCATTAAAGCAGGCAAGAGCACGCACATGGTGGAAATGCAGACGAAGTTCAAAGTGTTGGGCTTGGGCTTTCCCTCCAGTTTTTTCTAACCAAAATCAAGACCTCTTTCAGTTTCCTCTGAAACCACTATTGGGGTCTGGTTAACTTCATCTATAGCAAATAATAAAAAAGAATGTGCTAAAACTGTGTTCCTTCTTATAAACAAACGTATGGATCAGAAGGATTCAGGATTCAGATCTGACCTGAAGAGACTTAAGGCCTGGTAATTCATTCAGGTCCTTTTAGCGGACTAGATTTGACCATTGTACGATGGTAATTCCAAAAAGATTTCAGGATTCCAACTTGATAGGTAGCTTAAAAGGGTAAAAACACAATTCACAGGGACACTAATTTAATAGATTATGCTTCATAATCTAAAGATATAATTAAAACAATATTTAGGATGCACTCCGGTGGAAAGGCCCATCTAGCGGCACACAGATGATCTTCCATCAATCATGATGGGTGTGAATATACCTTGGGAGGACTCCATCTGACAAGCCCATTGGGTTTCAGGTAGCTTTTTGGAACCAAATTTAGCTAATCTCTTTTCTAAAGTGATTGTTTTAACTTTGCTTATATAATCATTGACAACTATGATGACATTTTATGTGTTATCTGTATGATTTGTTTAAAAATCAACCAACTGATTATTATGAGATGAATAATTCAAATGAAAACCTTTTGTGGAGTTTATGGTGTTACAGAAAGTAGCAGAGCATACTGATTGGCTGCAGTTATACAGGTTTATGGATGCGGATGTAGCATTATTGGTTTCATGGGAAGAAACATAAATGACATCTATGACATAAATAGAAGATTGAGGAAGGTGATGAATCAAAGCCTCATGGTTATGTTGCATCTGACAGTCACAGGTCAAGACTACAGACAGAAATAGGGGTTGCCTGGGTCAGTCGATCGATTGGTAAAGGGTGGTGATGATGAAATAACCCATGAATGGGTCATCAGCACCTTCAGCCCTATTATCGCTGTGTGCTCTCAAAGCAAGGCAGCAATATATGCAGGCAGCTGACCCAGTTCAGCCCTGAGAGCTCCGCATGCTGCTGTTGACTTCCTGTGTCAAGAGTGTCGCAATACTCCTACATGGGTTCTTTAAGACAAAACTGTGGCCCATTGTTGCCTAAATCAAGGGACACCTTACAATAAACACACTCAGAAACATACATTGCATCTTATATAGCTGTACAAGACTCAGAAAATGAATCAAGAACTGATTTGGAAAGACACCAGCATCTCAACCTATCAGTGATAGCCGACACTGTTCCCGGTGCCACATCGAAACATCAGCCTGACATATAGCTCCGGCTTTAGAGGGTGATTTGTGTCTTGAAACTTTTCTGCCATTATTTCTTTTGGTTTAGTGAACCTGTGGGAAATCTTACACCTAAATGGTAATGTACTTATTAACTGACTTCCATATTGTTGCGCAGTATAGTCCATCATCAGGCTATAACTTTGTTGTGTACCTTTATGGTCGTATGGAGACGTTTTAACTTTGTGTCTTAAAATGCGGTCACTCTGGGTTACAATCCTGCCTTGGGGCCATTTGCGTCACGTTGTCCTCCTCTCTCTGTCCTCATTTCCCGTGAAGCAACTTTCCAATAAAGGCCACGAGTGTTCTTTGAAAAACAAAAAGTATCTGGGTACCACTGATATGTTTCAGCATTATTTATTTTAAAATGCATTTATTTGTACTGTACATTTGGCTGTCAGTTGAGATAATAGATGTTTATTTAAAGGAAGAGCTAAGCATCAGCCGTTCTTTCCACGGCTAAAAACCCACACATTGGCATCAGTTGTCCAGCTTTCCAACCATAAGCTTCATTTGGAGGTTTCTCTCATACCCAATTTCCTTTTGTCATTTCCCAGTAAAATCCAATGATGTGGATTTAATTAGGCCTTTTGCAATAAAAATTTTTTTTTGTTGATTAAATTAAATTTTCTTCTGTCCACAGAAAATGTGTCATGAGACAGCAGTGCTGATCACAAATGCGAGACAGACCTGAGCTCATACTGCTTCCCTGTCCAGCAACAGTACGTTAATGGTTGGAACTGCCCGCCCCAACCTACATTACTGCCCTCGCAGACACAGCCTGATGATCACCGGTGCCATGGGAGCGGTGCGAGTCAACAGGTAAAGGTGAAACAATGTCAACAGCCACCGCATGTACAGTAGGATTAGATCTGACTTTTCATTTAAGAAACAATGGCTATTGTTAACCAAATACACAACGAATACGAGATGTCATGTAGAAGCCTGTGCAGTCTAGGTGGCATCCTTTATTGCAGGGTGTAAAAGTATATTTAGACTTAATAGTCTTTAATAGTCACACTATAAAAAATATTTTCCATTTTCAGAACAGTGTTTAGGTTTTCAGGTTGGGATATTGAAAAAGCTGCTTGACGATTAGTGACAAACCAAACAGGAGGGATTTTCAAACTGTGGCATCACAACTCAGAAATATATATTTGGTTAAAAGCAAGTCTAACTGCTGTATTGATTTATCTTACAATATTTATTTATAGTGCAGTTGTGTTAAATTATTTTTTAACCTAATGATAATAATTTATAATCTAATAATTTCACAGCATCTTCTGAAATTAGTAAAAATCCAACCCCCACAACTGGTAGCTCTATTACAGTTTAGCAAGTGTTACATGATACATACAAAACATATGCAGCATGGCCTCCTAACTTAGAAAATATTTTTTAATCAGTGGAATCTCAGTGAATAAATAAATCGATTTTGAAATTCTGAAGTTAAATCAAAAGTATAAATCACATGATTACCTTGCTGACTGCCATTGATATCTGCCAGTGACATCTTTTTTGAGTGGTATAAAGACACAATATGGAAGATTGAAATAATGCACACTGATAATCCACACTCAAAACAGCTAGAATAAAACAAATTATCTCTGTAAATAAATTAGCATGGCCATAATGTGACATTGCCAATTATTCATGCAATAATTCACATAAAACAATTGTATAAATTGATATTTCTAATACAAACAATAGTTGTAAAATTATTTGTTAATGCCATTATGTACTGTACCATTTAATGTTGAGATTAGTTGATTGATTTTATTAATCTGATCAATCAGTCATTCATATGAATCCTTTTTACTTTTACATGTGACTTATTTCTTTACATTTTCCATCTCTATTTATTTTCCTAATCCAGTTAATTTACATAATGAAATTTGATTTAATCAAATCCTTCGACACTTCTTATTTTGATATACATTTGTTTTATTTTCTCAATAAAATTAATATTTGTATGTTTATTGCATAATCCTCTGTATTGTAATTATCACCACTGTTATTTTTTTCATTATTATTTTTTGTGAAATTAACTTCCCCTTTCTTTCAGATACAGCATCGTTTCCACTGATGAGGATGCCCTAAAGATCTCCAGCTTGGGCCTCCACAATGGCCACAGCCCCCTAACTCAGCAGACACTGTCAGGGGCCTGCATGCGAGGTGAGGAGGGAGATGGAGGAGGAGAGTGTCCGGGAAGCGATGTAGCACAGGGGACTCTGTCTCTGAGGATGACAAATGAGCCAGTTATCCACAACAGCTGCCGCGCTTCACCTTCTTGTCGCTTGGACCTGGAACTGGGGACCGGCCGCCTGCGAAGTCGTTTTGTCAAGAAGAACGGCCAGTGCAATGTTGTTTTCAATAACATGGAAGGTAAGCCGCGGCGATACCTGGCGGATATTTTCACCACCTGTGTGGACATACGCTGGCGCTACTTGCTGCTTATCTTCACCACCACCTTCCTTCTTTCTTGGCTGTTGTTCGGTCTGATCTTCTGGGGAGTAGCGCTCGCTCATGGAGACTTTAGCTTGCGCCTCCCGGTGAAGGATGGGGAAACTCAGAGTTCCGCAGAAGAAGGAAATGAAGAATGGCGGCCATGTATTCTCCACATCCAGGGTTTCATTGGGGCCTTCCTCTTTTCGATAGAAACCCAGACCACCATTGGATATGGTTTCCGGTGTGTGACTGAGGAGTGTCCAATTGCTGTTTTGACTGTGGTGGTGCAGTCAATTGTGGGATGCATTATCGACTCCTTCATGATTGGCACCATCATGGCAAAGATGGTGCGCCCCAAAAAGAGGGCACAGACCTTACTGTTTTCGCATCATGCTGTCATCTCTATGCGCGACGGGAAGCTATGCCTCATGTGGCGCCTGGGGAACATGCGCAAGAGCCACATCGTCGAGGCCCATGTGCGTGCTCAGCTCATAAAGCCGCACATAACAGCTGAGGGCGAATACCTCCCTTTGGAGCAAACAGACATTGATGTCGGCTATGACGACGGCCTAGATAGGCTGTTTCTGGTGTCACCGTTGGTGGTCGTACATGAAATCAACAAGAGCAGTCCTCTGTATAACATGAGTCGCAGTGACCTCCTGAAAGAGGACTTTGAGATCGTGGTCATCCTGGAGGGTATGGTGGAGGCCACAGCCATGACCACGCAGGCCCGTAGCTCATATTTGGCCAGAGAGATTCTATGGGGTCATCGGTTTGAGCCTGTGGTGTTCGAGAAGGGTGACCGCTACCATGTGGACTATTCCCGCTTCCATAAGACCTATGAAGTGCCATCCACGCCTCAGTGCAGTGCCAGGGAACTGAGCCAGGTGAAGGGTCGTTGTGGGCATTCCTCATCATCAAGTTCAAGCTATTCCAGGTCTCCATCATTGTTTGTCAAAAGGGCGACACGACACCTCCAGGGCTCTCACTCTCCCAGTGCTTTTTGCTACGAGAATGAGGTTGCTCTGTGCTGCGGAGATGATGCCGAGGATGAGAATGTGAAAGAAGAGATGGAGGGCCTGAACATCAGAAGTGACAGGGATGTAAAGATAAGAGATGAGCTTCATTTGGATTTCAAGGGAGCTTTTGTGAAGGAGCAGACGGTTGAGATGTTGTGCGCTCTGGACACAGAAAATCAGATCAGCCTTGACAGACTACAACCCACTCTACCTTTATACATCAGCAGAGAGTCAGGAGTTTGATCAATGCTCGCCCTTCCGTTTGTTTCCTCTGTTTGTGTGCATCCAACCAAAGTATTGAACTCGTCTGAACAGAAAAGATGGAGGACACTGTTTAAGTGGCACAGGTTGGAAAAAAGAAATCTCTCCGCTTTCTTTTTTCAGCTCATATAAACTTCTCATTCTTGCTTTGGGTTCTGTCATAACATCAGCATGTGTAAAACCTTACAGCTCTACTTTGAAAAGATGGCAACCAAGTATTACTCTTTATTCAGAAGGCATCTTGAAAACGAATTGTTTCCTTGTTTTATTCAGTATGACCTGTCTGTGATCTACACTTAACTGGAGCTTCTAATTTTTGATCTCTTTTATGTTTGTGTAAATATATACTTTTGTTTTAAGTCTAAAATGATTTAACATAATTTACAGAAATCTTAGGAAAGTACATTTGATTCATTATAAAGAAAGCATAGCACTTTTTCTCATGTGTAAACATGTTTTTGTTCCGTATTTTGAACTTCTGTCCTCCTGCCTGAGTTCTGTATCTTTTATTATTTGATAAGCTTTTTTGGTTTGTCAAAAATTCATCACAGCATGTTCCTAAATGGTAACCAAGCTCAAGTAAGGTACATAGTTCAGAACCACGGAAAAACATTCAAGTCAAACCTGTGCAGATGAAGAACAAGCACTTTAGACTTACTTTTATCAATAGATACAAACACTTCTGCAACTGTCTGTTGTTTTGTATGTACAAAACACTTATTAAACAACAGTTATACTGTTGACACTTGAATTGTCTGTGCTATGTCTCTATGACCACAAACTCGCTCTTCATCCACGCTAATATTCACCTTTCTCTTGCATCATTAGCCAAACTTCACTTCACTTCAGTTCCACAAAAATTTGGAGTAAAAGGTTTAGCGTAAAAAAAAAGAAAGATAAACATCCCAATGGCAGTGATATTATTTCAAATTAGTACAATGGTGTTAACATTTATATGAAAATGTGTCAGAACTGTGATTTTCCAACCTGCCACAACTTAACTGTTTACATTTAAATGCTGAAAGTTTTGCTGGTTTCTTATGGAAAAAAAACAAGTTTTTCCTCTCAGTAGGACTAGGTCAGTTTACATTTCTTCCTTGCTACGCAAAGGAGGGAAAAGGTTATCAATATCAGCCCCTTCTATAATGTATGAGAGGCTTATGTTGCTAACAACTAGCTTAAATTGGTGGCCCAATAATCTTTGTTTGTGCAACAAAACATTTTTATTCCACATCATAAAGAACAATTATATGTAAAGAAAATGAGCTCAATGAGATCGCGCAACAGTTCTAAGGAATTGAATAATCAAAAAAGCATTTTGAAACGTTCAGTTTTTTATGCCATTTCGGGAAATAAGGACCATGTTGTCCTTTGTTGAGCTTTGGAAGAGCATTAAATTAATTTAATGTATCTTAGAAGCAGGTATTACAATTTGCTTTAATACATTTTCTAAATGATCCAGAGGAGCTTTGCTAAACACAGGAATCCCCCTTATGAAAGAGAGGAGCGAATACAAACTATCTAACCATGCCCTGCAGCTGTAATGTTCGATGCAGCACTCTATTCTGACTAATTCATGTGATTATAGGAGAAAGTCAAAGTGAACAATTCATTCACATCAATATCTCTTCTTTTTGTTTAGTTAAATATTTAATTAATTACCATCTTTGATGACAGAATACATAAGTTATTTCTATTGATTGTAAATTCTTGTGAATAACATTTCTGAGAGAAAATACCATAATAAGATAAAGCATGAAATCAAAACACTTTTTTGTAGAGTATTTTTTGAACATCTTAATTTAAGTGTTGCATGAACACACCATAGCTATATAACCCTGACGTCAAACTATCCTAAATCCTTAAGTTAAGTTCTACCTTCTTTCTTTACCATATGACGTCTACCAAAGAAAAAGCTCTAGCTTGATTCTCTATAGGGAAATAAATAGGCAAATATACAAAAATAACAAAATAACTGCAATCATACATTCAGATATAGTTTAATGATAAGAGATTATCCTAGTAAATTAAATAAAAAAAAACTAAATGGACAAACTAAATACGGATAAATACACATGGAGGTACAAGTTTATTCCTAAACTATATTTATTTCTCCTTTATGCTATACAATAAGGGTTCATTATTAGATTTCAATCTAAGTAATTTACAGCAATAATAAAATGGTTAGCTTTTAGATTTGAAAGCTTTTTAAAATCTTTTTTGTATTTTGTAGTACTTATATCAAGCTTGTTTTGTATGTTGGATAATTATCCCTAAAGCAATGGTTTTCTCCAATTTCTCTTTAAAAGAAAAGCCAACTTTGACTTTTGTATGTGGTATAATGTGGTATAGCTCATGTGGTTCCCATAGCTATCATACACACCTGAAAGGCTGCTCACACCAGGTAGATGGAGGGAATGAAGTCTTCCCACAGCAATCCCAATAGTTTTTTGGCATTGTTGAGTGATGTCAAACATCTCATACCACAGGAATGGCATGTCAGAAAGTTTGAACTGTATTAAAAGTGGGACAAAATTTTTTGTACAGCTTACTTTGGAACTGAAAATGACCCAGGTCTACTTCTTGGACAAAAATATCTTTTTTATTTTTTTATTTTTATTTTCTTGGGGAGTAGACCAAGTTAAAGAAGAACCACCAGCATCTGAATTGTGCTGTGTGAATGTTGGATTGAGGGCCTTGGATTGATTATTTCTTTCCCCAAATTATCTGCAGTCTTACTATCATGAGAATTTAGAAATAGGTCTTTAGGTCTTTAAACTGGTTCGCTGCTGTGGTCTGTAAAAAAGGAATGCACAGACATGCATAAAAGATGGGTTTGATTTTAAGATTTGAGTTACACAAAGCAGGCGCCGACAGGAAAGTCCAAAGGTCATACATACACACACATGTTTATATATATATATGTATATATATAGTGCTTTTAGTTACCCAGCTACAGTTAGCACTGTTAACAGCATGCACTGAAGACATATTCTCTTTTACGCAGCTGAAGATTGGTGAGTGGTCCCTTGACTTCAACGATTATGTCATCTTAAGTGAGAAGTTCATGGCGTCTCTTAACAATGCACAATCTTCTGAAAACCTTTCAGCTGGCTGTGCTGTTTTTCTTAAAGAATAATCCATTGCACTTCCGGGTATTTTAACAGATTATACATTGGGTAATAGCTGACTTTAATTGCACATTTAGAACCCTACTTGCTGCGTAAAATGTAAATAAAACAGAATTTAGTCAACTTTAATTCTAATACATCCAGGTTTTATTCACAAGACAGCATTCAAAACATAAAATTCTTAACATTACATGAGTAAAGTAAACTATTCTTGGATTTGATACAAAGCGACATATGTCAGGAGGCCGGGACAGATCAACCAGGCTGGGCTTCAATCTGAAGATGGCACAGTGAACTGAGGCAACGCTTTTGAGAAGAGAGGAAGAGGGAAAAGCGCACAGCCCACCTATAGAGATGATAAAAATGATCAAATGGTAAAACATTGTGGTGTATTACCTTGCTTCATACAGGAATGAAGATACTTTGGCTTCTTCTTTTCATGAGATGTCATTAACCTGCTATCAAAAACTCACAGTGAATGCAGACAGTTCTGCATACAAACTGAATTATTGACTTTGCCCCTCACTGTCTCCAGAATCTATTAATCTTTTCATAATATTGTGGACTGTACCCAGTTCAGCTCACTCATTCCGAATTATGTTTTGGTGACTGTCAGTAAAATCTGATGGTGAAACTATTCATTGAGTGAGTGTGTTCATTTTTTCTGTGCCTTATCACCTTAGTAATATCGCCATAGTGATAAGGCATTTTTGGTCCAAAAAAGTTAAAGGGCTCTTGATTTATGAACTTGATTCAAATTAAACTCTCCACGTTATTTGTCAAACAATATGATCTTGAAGTGTGTCACAACTTGTGAATGAAAACCTGCTTGGATATTTGAAAACATCCAAATAGAAAAGTAATTATTTTTGTTGAATTTTAGAGCAGAAAATTATTAAATGCATTCAATTTCTCAAGCTTTAAATGCAGCTATTTAATTTTAACCATTAGAATGAGCATTTTTTGTACTGAAGTTCATTGTTAAGGAATTAATACAATACAAGACAAATAATGAAAGCTTACTGATGATTATAGCTTTATATTAAGGAAAGCAACAGTGTGCATTGCCACAAAAGAAGAAGGAGGCATGCTGAGTATCTCAACGAGTTTAAAGCAGTTCCCTCATGTCTGGAGGCAAAGGTCCTTGTCCCAGCTGACCCGGGTAGAAGTCCCAGCCTTTGGTCCTTTGCTGCACGTCATTCTATCATGATGTGCCGTGTCCAGACCACTTGACAGGTCAGGAGGTCCAGTGAGGTTACAGCCAATGGCAAAAAATGAAAGGAATCGTCGCTTTTGGAAGATCTTCAATCAAGTCTTTTATTTAGTAAAAAGATAGATAAACAATTAATCATTTCATTCAATAGGTGACCATCCTGGTTTCACAATACATATATAAACACTTGAAGAAGGCTGCTGTAATATTCTTGCCCTTTTCCATGTCAAGAAGTTAAAGGAAATGACAGAATCCACTTGAAATTTGCTTTTATGAAATATTGTACAAAACCTTCAACGTAAACAAAGCAAGCAATTTGAACTATTTTAATACTCACAAGGGGACAGCAGGCATGTATGCAAGTTAAAAAGAAAGAAACAAGAAAAGCAAAAATGAGTAAGGAGAACAAGATTGATAAGCGTGAAAAACACAATAAACAGATACAAAAATGAAGGCAGTCCTTTGAAGTCCATCTGGCCGTGGTGCAGGATGTTGCTGTCTTCGGGCGTTGTCCAGGCTCCACCATGTGGTTGAGCAGCGACACCACAGTGAGGGACTGCACTGTTCGATGGGATTCGATTTTGCAGTAGCACATGAATTAACACATGAAGTTTTGAAATCGGCATAAGTTCACCCCTGTGTTTGAGTACTTGTGAACAAACAACAAGGTTTACCTAATCCTGGAGAACCTAAGAACAGTCGTCCTGAGTCAGTGGTTCAGAACCATCTCGGGATGATATATTTTTCAAAATTTTTAAATTTCCAATTTTTAATTCATGTCAGCCTATATCTTTTTAGATGATAAAACATTTTATTTGCTAGAAAAGTAGTAACACCAAATGTTACTTATAAGAGTTTGCATTATCTTTCTCTGTGATGTTTATGGACAATTTAACCGGAAAATATTCAGATTAGACATAGGGTTTTGCAGCATGTGACAAGCAGATACTGCTCTCATTAACAACATCACAAGCATAAACTTTGACCCTGCTCTTTCTCAAATATATTCCAAACTCATAGCTTATTTATAAGTTATCTTGAGCCGTGGTTCTTTCAGTGACAACCAACAATTGGCTAACACTTAAAGGCCGCTCATTTTTTGTAATACTTTTTCTTTGTCATAACAGGCAGTTCATGAAATAGAAATTAAATGACGATTATTCCTCCTTTATGAAAGTCCAGTACAAGTTGTTGTTTCTTACTATTTCAACCCAACCCTCTTCACAAATATTACAATACTCAAGAAGACACAGTATGCTTGATTGCAAACCAAATGTGTCCCATATTACAAGAAACATATTGATAACACATACATAACTTAGTAAATAGTATTGTTCAAGTTAGTAAACTTGGGCTATTCTTCTCCCAGCATAAAAAAGTTTTAGGAATATATTTTGTTGTTTAAGCTAACAGATAGTTAAAGTAGAATGCATTTCCAAAAGTTTGCATATAAAACATTCTGCTGAGGATAAAAATAGATTCAAATTCTGTTTACTGTCATCTACAAAAACAGCAAATGATCTTCCATGCATATCACCTCAGTTTCTGCTATGTACAGTTAAATAGAACAGCATTAGCAAATTTAGCAAATGTTTCTCTAACATTTCTTGAAGTAACCTGAAAGGACCTTGAACTTTACGCACCCACCCGGTGATTTACAAGTCGTTAAAGTATTAGTCCAAGTAGTAGTAAAGTGGTTCAGACGTGATCCTGGTAAAGCTTCTCGTATCTTCAGGACAAACACACGAATTTGGACTCAGACAGTACCAGGATCTAAGATGAGACTCAGTTGATATTTGATCATTTTGATAAAACTCTTAACTGTTTAAGCTCTAACTGACCCCCACGGCTCTTTATTGTCCTTGTACATCTGTTCTTTTCTGGTTCTTCATCGTCTATAGCAAGATGTTTCCCCTTTATGCGACGATCATATCTCCCTGCTGTCATTCCAACCTCCTCCATGACAGCTTTCTGATGCCGGTTAATTATCCATATCTTCACATCCCCCTGTCATCAGCTTTGGTGAGGAGAGCAGCTGTGTGACCCCTGAAACCTTTGTTAAGGCTGCTAATGTCTGACCAGCATCCTGCCTAATAAGGTGGCGTGTGTTCTCTTTCTTGTAGGTTAAGTGTGTGAGTGCGTGAGTGTGCTTTCATGTGTGTGACACCTCGTATATCTGCGTGCCCTCTCCGGCCTCACGGGCAGTTTGCGGCCTCGGGCCGTGCAACGGGGTGCGTGTGCTCGGCAGGGGACAGCATTTAGGCACTGGGAAGCTGAGTCCGGGGGGATCTTTGATTCCATAATAAGCCGTTGTCTGTTGTGGAGCTGTGGAGCGGCTCGCTGTGGGACAGAGGCGCATTGTCTCCAGCCCGGCGTAGCACAGCTCCACATCGGAGGCAGCGTGGTAAACACCACAGGGCAAACATGGCTTGGACATCTCTGTCTGTCTCTTTGTCTCATGTTTTTTTCTGCGCCTCTGTCTTCTAGATTGATTTTTTGTAATCATTCCCCTGTTTGAAATAATTAAATTTCTTTTATTTTTGCAACTTACCTCTCTCAGCAAAAAAAATGGGTGCTAAACAGTCGCTATAATGATCATGCATTTGTTTTTTGCTTTTATTTGTCCTTGGTCCTGTTTTAAATAATGGTTCAACTTTCTTTTTTTGTGTTCTGAGGGTTATTTTTCTGATCTAGTTTCAGTCATTTGCCTTAGTTACTGACTTTCTCCACATCCCACTCATTTTTCTGTATATCCCTATATTTCTCGCTGGTTTCCTATTTCCTCCTTCCGTGTCTCTTTCAGCTTCACTCCTTGTAATCTCCCTTTGTCTCCTCTGTAATTTTCCATCCTGGTGGTCAACTGTGCTCTCTTCACCTGTGTCCCCTGTCCCTTGTATATTAGCTCTCCTGGTTCAGTCCCTCTTTGTCTTTGTCTGTCACATCGTCTGTTGCACGCCCGTTTATCCTTGTCTGTTTGTCAGCAAGTTTTACGTCATGCCTTTGGTCCTCACTAATGTCTCCTTTTGACAAATTCTGGTATTTCCCAAGTCCCTTGTATTCCGTGTCTCGTCTCCACAACTGGGATTAATCCACGCACACTCTCCTCTGTCAATAATGTGCTGATTATTGACCTCCGAAGCTTGCCGTGTTTTAATACCTTTTGAAAAATTGGATTAAATTACTTTAATTAAATCGATTACTTCAGTTTTCATACTAAGCAGGCTTTTGAGGGAACGTGTATAAAGTAACAACCATGCTCCTATTTATTTCTAAGCAAATCAGACAGTTTTCCAAAATATCCAATTCAATAAGCATTGATTTGTTAAGAAATGTAGCCCTGACAAGCGTGGATACATAAAAAACAGAGAGCTATGAATTTTAGAACTCCAAAATTAAAAAACCTAGAACCAGTGTATTCCCTGTGACTATTACTTTGAGCTGAACCCTGAGTAGTCCACTGGAGATGCAAAGCAATTCTTGAAACACACTTTGAGTTAAGACATACAAAGAGACTAGACCACATCTAATATACAGTTGATCGCGATCATTAGAGCAATTATTTTGTGTTGGAATGTACAGAAGAGATTTTATACAGCTAATTCTGGACATTTCAGGAAACAAAGTCAGCTTAAAAACTGTTGTTTGCGTAGCTCATAAAACTTAGAGAAATCATCTCACTATTCCTTCTACACACCAGCAAAAAAGCCCCCTGCCAATGTTTATGGGACATGCCCACGCCCCTCCATTATCACCTGAAAGTTTAGTGTATGAAAGCGCGACATCAGTCATGGAACAGCTTCCCTGAAAATGTTAAATTCGTCACAATTTAAAAGCAAACTATTTAACATTTGCCAATAATTGATATCATCACGAAGCTATTCAAGGTGACTACTCCCCCTCAAAAACAGCTTGCATGTGCTCACATGGAAACATACCACTCTAGATTGACAAACACACATCCACACACACATGCAAACTGAAGACTGACCAAACTAAATGAACACAATCCTTTCTTCAACAATCTGGTTGATATGCAATTATGTAGTTATTTGTTGTTCAATGAGAATCAGATCGCAATGTGAATTTGCCAGTACAATTTCAAAATAAACTGACATATAGGGCTCTAATTTATAAAACTATCAGGTCACGCAAGGTCTTTCTCTAGAACATAGATGAAATCTCCATTAACCCATAAGAGCCCAGACCCGTTTTTCCCTAGAGAGCAATTATAGGGAATAAAAAAACTGACCGAATGAACCCTGTTTATCACTCAAATAAAAAATTAAAAAAATTAAATTCAGGTACGACCTTTTTATTTAAGAAATAAATGTATTTTATTTTAAATAGGATGCTATACCTATGTCACTATGGTTTCTATCGGTTAAAACTTTCCAATCATAATATTTTGATCATCCTCTGTTGAAATCTTTAGCTCATCTAATGACTTTGTAATAAATTTGTTTTGCAATGTTTGTGTTTGGTTGTGTGTTTAATTGTTTTTAATCCTGGATGTTTTTCTACACTAGGATTTTTGTCTTTTAAGCACATAATTTATGTTACATTAATTTTCCTCAACATTTAGGACCCTTTCTCTGATCAGTGAGTGATAAGATACATCTATGTAATATGGTTTACATATCCTAAAATGTTGTCCTAAAATTTGTCCTTTTTTCATATCTGTTACAAAACTATTTTAATATGGAAGTGATCGAAGATCATTATTATACTTATTTGCACACACACTGCAAAATTATCAAGCAGCTTCTATTCAGTCCAGCTAATAGAAAATCTGTATAATAAATAACCATATTTCTCACCCTCCTCCCCCAAATGTCTCATCCATCTTTCTGTCTTGTTGCCTTTCATCTCTCCATGTACACGGACAACAACAGACTCTTTCATGTAGCCATCGTTTCCTCAGACCCCCAGGCCCTCTTAGTCTTTCTTTTTCACTCTCACAGACTAATTAAATGTTCCGAGAAGAACTCATGATTGTAAAGTTTAAGTTACTTTCTCTCCCTTTGTTTCTCACTGTCATTTTGACATATGAAGTCTTTGGATTTAAGTTAATGGCCGGAATTTGAAATTAATTCTATGTTTGGGCAGGAAAATCATCTATTTTGGGTTTTTTTTTAGAAAATGATGTTGATTCATTTGCAGTTTTGGATCAGTTAACATAACCAATACATTAAGTGCCAGAAAAGGGATTTTATATGAAATAACTATAGGTGGGGTGCAATCAATAATTTGTTTTGTTCTGTGAGACAGACAAAAACGGTTTAAGAAAAGTTTTTACAAGGAGTAAAAAGTAACTTCGAGGGAAGTTGTGGCGATGATTTTTCAAAAACTAAAGTGCAGAGGGGATAACGCACTAAACCTAGGCCAAAAAGATAAAAAAGTGAAAATCATCTGTGTTTGTCATTGTTGTTGTTTTTGTTTTAGATAGATCTTGCTTTTATAAACCTAACTGGTAACATGCTGCATGTTTACAGATAAACATAACTTACATTCATTAGAGTCAGTATACAAATATGAATGCTGAAATACCTTTTTTCTGATGGCATTTTTCTTTCCGTTCCATCATTTTATAACTGCTTCAATTTCCAGCGTAAAAACTGTGTATATATGCATATGTGTGTTTGTGTTTGGATTGTTAAACTGAACTTTCTACAGCTTCTCATATGTAGAACTTTGAGGTCCTGCTCTGTTCTGATTGAAAAAGGCCCGCTGGATTAAAAGACACCTGCCCTGGGAGGTCACCTGGGTCCATCTGGTCTACTCTTTCTTTTACTTTACCTTTAGTTAGTCTTTTCTTTAACATATATACTGATAACCTTTATAATGATCGTTAAAAAATGAACCCATTAGAGACAATCCAGCCGGGAGAAGGGACCAACATTAAACATTACACAGTGAATAGTTTCATTTGATCATAATTTAAATGAAAGTTAAAAAAAAAACAACAGAAAACTCATTCATAATTGAGTCTAAAACTAAAACAGTGCCCGTGGGATTGGATTTTCTCAAAATGAAGGACTGATTCGGAGATGGCAGATGATTTATTCTTTTGCCGATCTGCAGGAGGATTTTCAATGTGGATAACAGTCACGGATGCATGACTAAACAGCACGCTGGCATGTATGACTGAGGGCCGACGCAGTCATAAAGCTGCAACATGAATGCCAGCATTGTCCCTCGCTGCCATCATGCTTGTCGTCATCATCATGACAAAACGACCTCCTGCACCTGAGACACAAACGCCCCATTTTTTTTCTCAGGCGATGCCTCGAAATCTCATTTTGTATTTTCATAAATGTACATTTTCAACGAATCCCTTCCTCGCTCTGTTGTTCTTATACTTTTCCACCATTTCTCCCAGTCGAGCTGAAGTTGTGGCCGAGAGATGTGGACACCGAACAATAGACCACTCATGATGCCCCCCAATACACACATGAGCCCCCCCCCCCCCCCCCCCCCCCCCCCCCCCCCACCTTGCACCAGCCTCCACAGCTGCACAAGAATGTGGTCCAACAAGTTACCCACCTCCCCCCAATCCCCCCCATCCCTCTTCTCCCCACCACCACCATCCCTACCACCACCACCACCTCACCAGTGCTGCCGCCATCACAACCGAAGGCCCTCTCTCCCAAATAGAAAAGATGAAGAAGGCAAGAAACCATAGAGGGGGTGGTGGGGTGGTGGTGGGGTGGGGGTGGGGGGGGGGACTCAGCAAGACAGAGCACAAAGGGAGGATTCATGGTTGGTCACATACACTCTCGGAGAAAAAAAGAGGGGCACCCATTTAAGTGTGGTGCAGCTGCACTAATTCACTGGGCGAAAATGGGCATAAAGGGGAGTGACAGGGGTCAGATAGCGGAATCTTTTATTTATTCTTTTTTTTTTTTTTTTTATCATCCCACATGGACGGCATGTCGCGGAAGAATCTTAAACAGTCCTCTCGATGCATAAATCAGGTGATACAAAAAAAAAACCCAGAAAACACCTGCAGCCATTGACTTCACAGTTCTAATCAAATCAGAATCTGAAGAGAAAAGTAGGATTTTGTTCCCGCTCTTTGCCGTCTCAGTTTAGGTCAAAACACTTTAACGCATCGCGTGACCCGACGTGACCTTTTATTTTTTTTCCACGTATCCCCCATTGGGAACGTGTCGATATTTGATTTAAAGGCCCAGTCACGGGGGTTGACGTTACCACTTCATGTCCTTACTCAAGAAAACCACAAAGATGGAGGAGAAGTTGTCTCTCTGTTCAACCATGGCCAGAAAAGATCACTGCGCAGGTCCCACAAACAAGCTGGTGGAGGAGTCACATGAGATTCAGTTTTATTGATAGCCTGGCTTAAGAGCTGGAATTCCCCAAGTGAAAGCCCTGACCTCAACTGTTTTTTTTCACTCAGACCCTTAGAGGAAATGACATTTATGAATTAGAGTGTTTTTCTCACAATCCAAGACGCCGTCCCAAAGCTTGAGAAGAATTCTTGTAACTCTAAATTACTTTTAAAACTGACTGTTTCAACATTTTTACACTAAAGGCTGAAGCAACTGGAGCAATCGGTGCCAATTCTGACATAGAAATTCAGATTCTGCTGAGTTTGTCATCATTTGGAACAAATGATGCCATTCATTTCAAGCCAAATGTGCCCGTTGACACCGGAATGACTGTTTTCCACCAATTATGCATCAGTTTAATGCAGGATGTGACCTAGCATGTGAATATTTGACCGCAGTACATGCTTCTCTTATCTGCAGCCCGCTCACACTCTCCCTCTCACACCATTGGTCTGTTTTCCTCTCCTTTCTTTTGCCTTGTCTCCCCGGTCTCTCATCCGATTTCAGGAATTTCCCCCCCCCCGGGCCTCTGTTCGAGTATTAAAGCCAATGTTAAAGGATGTTCTCACTTTTCTGTCTTTTCTTCCAGTCACCTGATCATAAAAAAGGAAACATCCGAATCAAAGTGTTTCTCCGAAATAAATGAATCTGTTACAGGACAGCTCAGTTTTAAACCAGCAGCTATACCCGAGACTGAATGTGCACCTGAGGCTGAATCTTTGTCTATCTCTCTCTCTCTCTCACTGATCAATTGATCAGGATTGCTGACCTCCCTGTTGATCATGAGACCTCACCCTCCCATCCATTCCTCCCTGTTTCTCCCCCAGGAGCCACAGCAAACAAGCTCTTGTGACACAGTCTGTGCAGCCATGAAGGCCCATTACTGCAGTCACATGGCGGGTTAGCCACTGATGGGAACATGTGAGCCCTATTTTCTAACAAGCTACAGCTGCCCCACGGCTCGAGATAGTTTTACACCGGACAGCGAAATGCCAGCATACCAGCTTTAAGTTCAGTTTTATAAGCCTATATGCTGGGAATTCAACCGATAGAAGATGCTGAAGCTGAGCTGCAATGACATACTGATCACAAGTTCATGACTTCTTTGTGAAGCTCCGAAGACATTGCAAATAAAAGCAAAGACAGTGTTTTCACCTTATTCTAAAGCAGGGGTTTAAAAATCTTCCTCTTAAGATCAAACAAAAGATAATATAAATAAAGGGTCAGGGCTGTCATGATGACATGATGCTTTTTCATTTAATTTTTTTTGTACATTCTATTTCGATTAAACTGACAAAGTAGCTTGAAAAAATAGAACGTTCTTTAATATTAATTTATTTTTAAGGAAAACAAGTTTACTTCGGAGTAACAAAACATAAATGGAATATTATGATATAATATGAACATTTTAAAATGAGCTTCCTTGAGTTATTGAAAAATACATAGAAAAATAACATCAGAAATGCCAGGAAACTTAAAAAACTATCATTCTAATCAATAACACAGATGTTGTTTAAAAGATTTAAAACTTTTAGCGTTTCATCTAACGAATAGAATAAACTGTGTGCGTTTGGGTGCGTTTCTGGATCCTACTGAAGTCTGAGAGTCGCTCAAGAATAAAAATGTTGCACAGAACAAAACGGTAAAGTTTTCTTCGCCATTGTTTAAATAAAATACACAATCAGTTTTAAAATGGCATTCAATTAGTTTGAACTTATACAAACTAAATGAGCCAACTTTATTCAACTTTATTCAACTTTAAGCGTCTCGTCTTAGAAGGCCTCGCGCGTAAATTTCTCCATTTGTTCGATTATCTAAAATGTCAGAGATAATTTTCCTTATTATTAATAGTAACAATTTACATTTATAATTTGCCAAACAAATAGAAATACATTTTTGTGTTATTAATAATTGCTAAGACAGGTGAGGTGCTAATGTTTTTAAAAGGCCAATTTAGTTAAAAATATACTTGAACTCCTTTTGCATCGAATAAAATAGACAATTTAAAAGACTTATGATTGAAAACAACGTTTTCCCCTCTCTACTTTAAAACAAGCAGTGGTGTTTTGTCGTTCTTTCAGTTCAGACAAAAAGCTTAATTTGTGTAAAAAAAAGTTGACATATCTTAAAAAATAAATTTAAACAAGCTTTGTTACCATAGCTATTTTACACAACGAAGTCAGTTTAATGTAAAAGAACACACAAGGGTGGCCCTCTGACAGCCCTCCTAAAATAATCCAAATAAAAAATAATCAATATTATAATAGGGTAATATCCAGCTGTTGAGTAAATGAAAAATATTGTAAAATCTATTTTTTTCTCATATAGAACAAATTCCCTCCGGTGATGCTACCCTGACGCACACACACACACACACACGCACACACTCTGCAGGGGAGGGGTTGGGAGAAATGCACATCCCGTTTCGCTGACCAAACGCACTTGGTGAAACCGCAGCTCCCTACAGACCTCCAATCTGCACAAGCATGATGAGGGGGGGGGGGTGGGGGCAGAAGGGGGTATAGACAGACAACATAACCTGTGCATTTCAAGCTCCTGTTAAATGAGAAATTAAAATAAAAACAAAACACACGCACACACACACAAAACACAACTCACTACAAGCACTCGGAGGCCTCACGCAGAATCCATGTGGGGGTGATGCAAAGGTGTCCCCACCACCACCACCACCACCATCATCATCACTGCTCACAGCCCCATCACACCACAGCATCTCCCTCAAACCCAAGCACGGCGCCCCTACCAGCAGGCCCAAATCCAGGTGAGTGTGTGCTGAGAGACGCTAAAAGATGTCGCGGCTGGAGGACTGGAGAGGGATCCGTGCGTCCCGTCCGCCGCGGAGCATTTTCTGTGTGTGCGCGACTTGTGTCTAAATGCTCGGACATAAGGGGGAGAAAGACGCACACATCGCTCTCTGTTATCATTTTTTTTTCCTCCCATGTTTGCAGCACAAAACTGCTTTTTGTTCCCCATTTTTTTTTTTCCTTTTACGAGGGTTAATGGATAGAGGCTTGGGCGTTTGATCACATGGCTACAATTCACCTGAGATGGAGACAAAGAGAGCAAAGAGAGGAGTGGGAGAGAGAGAGGGAGAAAGCCGAGAGTCGGGCCCGACATGAGAGGCCGCGGACACACAGGGGTCATTGTTGCATTCATTTTGTGCGTGTGTGTGTGTGTGTCTGTGCGCATCAGATGCCGCTTCCCATCGGGCCACGCTTTAACGGGTTATCTCACGGCCCGGACGAGCGCGGACAAATCGGTCATCCCGTGCGCACGCAGAGCGTGAAGACGGGCGAAAACAGGATCTGTGTGTGTTTTTTTGTTTTGTATTTATTGTAAGTTCAACCATGAAGATATAGCCTGTCTTTAAGACTAGATTGGAGCTAGTTAAAAGTGGTTTTAATGGAGTTTAAAACCACCAGTATGGAGTATTGGCAATGTTGAGACCTGTTCCATCCTTCCCAAGGTTGATAAGACTGGCAGATTTGGAAGGGAAAAAAGGCCTATTCGCTCCAGAACACATTTAGTGTAAACATGCACTTCAACATAGACATGTAAGAACGTATGGACTCCCTATATTTTTTATGATCTGCGGTTGGTTTTCCTTCCTGAAGACGAGATAAGGAAAATGTACCCCCCGATGACGCAAAAGAATATATGAAAAGGTTGTAAAATTTGGGCTCACTCTATTTGACCATATTGGCGGTCATTTTGTGGGGAAATGAAACAGCTTGGATTATCTGTCAAGATAACTATTTCTGCCACTTTTCCACTGATAAACGTCTGACGTGGAGTTTAGTTTAAGAGCTGCATTTCCAGCATCAATATTGATGCGTAAAAATGGAGCGGTGGGTTTTGCAATTCATTGTAGATTATATTTTTTTGCCCCCCTCTTTTTTGTTTAATTAATTCTCGAACCGTGACCATACTGGGCAATAACTCTCCCGTTGATTGTTTATTTGTTTGATAAGTGTTAACATGTCCAACAAAGCTGGCGTTCTTCCTCCCTCTAAATGGACGCACTGTGGAGTCATTTAAGCCACTCCGAGGTAAAAACTCTCACCTCTTCACCGTTGGAAATGTTACGGCGATGGACAAACGGGCATTAACGCAGGAGGACTCCTGTCCAATCAGTGAGCAGCGGGATAATTAGAGGGCCAATCAGAGCGCTGCGCGGCGCAGAAGGGGCGCGGCTTACTGTGTGCTGGAATGCTGTTTCTTTGGGAATGTTTTCCAGTTTCAATCATTTCTTTTTTTTTCTTTTTTTTTTCTCCCAGTCAGTCTCACAAGGCGCTCTTTAAGCTCCGCTGTTGCCACACAGAGCAGCCATTCATCGGCTCTGCAGCCAGCCACACACACTCCCATGCTGAACCACTGGACATCTAAATTGGTAAGTTATGTAATTTTATAATGCAACATTTCTGACATAAATGGATATATTTCATATCGTGGATTTATGCACCGTGCGGTTTTCAGTCTTATTTATATGTGGAATAAGCCTTATCCCCGCTTTTAATTTTTCTTTTTTTGATCGAAATATTCTCGGTTGCGGTATTTTCGTAATTATTATTGGCCAGAGATACCGTTTGTGAGATGGAGTTTGTCCGTTGATTTTTTTTTTCCTTCCGTACAAATAGGTTAAACGTTGATATCAAAACAGAATCACAGTTCAATATAACTTAATATCTAAAGTTCCTTTGAGTTCTGAACTGCTTCCATTGTTTGTCTCGTTTTAAGATATAGCTGCTGTTTCTGAAAAGGAGCCAACGGTGAAAAGGATTTTTGGCACCTCTTGCGCATCATTATGGCTTTTCTTGAGAAGCGTCAGCACTAAACTTTGGACACCAAAGAAATTTATTTGAACTATTTTGAAGATTTATTCGAGTATAGTTCGGACTGCCAAATAATATCATTTTGTATATTAGAGTGTTTTTTTTTTATTGTCAGTTGGAGTAATTAGAGAAAAAAATTAAAATGTCCGGTGAGGAGCACAGCCTGTCCGAGGCGGAGCTGAGTCCCGGTGGGTCAGACGACGGTCACTCGCTCTCGCCGGCTCAACCCGGGGCACCGCCCGGCCAGGACTCACCTCTGAGCGGGCCCCCGCAGCAGCTTACCGCGCTCTGCGTCGCGGACGGAACCGGCGAGGACGGAGGCAGAGCGAGGGCCAAATCGGAAGAGGAGGACGATCGCTTCCCCATCGGGATCAGAGAGGCGGTCAGCCAGGTGCTGGACGGATATGACTGGACGCTCGTGCCCATGCCGGTGCGCGTAAACAACGGGAACAAGGCTAAGCCCCACGTGAAGAGGCCGATGAACGCCTTCATGGTGTGGGCCCAGGCCGCGAGAAGAAAACTGGCCGATCAGTACCCCCACCTGCACAACGCGGAGCTCAGCAAGACCCTGGGCAAACTTTGGAGGTTTGTATATCAGTTGCGCGCTTCGTGCGTAATGGACGTGTCGAGGGATTAACCATAAAATAGGATAAGTAATTTGCCCAAATGTCGTACTTTGAAAATATTTAACCTAGAGGTATACAATACCTTTGTAATTTTGTGTCATTTTACAGGTGAAACAAGTCCATATTTAAGCAAATAAGTGATTTATCGCTGCTTTTGCGCACAATATTTAACGCATTGTAATTTTAAGGCAGCTAACTTGAAATTGCCTTCATTCTTAATATGAAAGCCTATAACTCTTACAACGATGTACTCTTCGCTTTTCTTTCTTTCCACCAGGCTGTTGAACGAGAACGACAAGCGGCCATTCATTGAGGAGGCAGAGAGGCTAAGGAAACAGCACAAGAAGGACTACCCGGAGTACAAGTACCAGCCCCGGAGGCGCAAAAACGGTAAACTGATGCCTTCCAGTGAGTCCGACAGTCAAGGCGAGGGAGAGGCCAGCCACTCCCAATCTCACTACAAGGCCCTTCACTTAGATCACAATGGCGGGGCTGGGTCTCCGCTGGGTGACCTGCACCACCACCATCATCATCACCATCCTGCAGGTGGGTATCGTTTTGGCATCGTATCTTGGTATAGAAATTTAATCTGTTTTCATGTTTCAAATACATAACAAGTCAGGAAAAAATCCAAATGATTAATTCTTTGAACTGCTATTTTCAATCGTGGGTTATGTCAAAGGGGAAACAAAAAGGTTAACGATATTGTTTTCTTCTTAGGTCAGGGTCACAGCCCACCAACGCCCCCCACCACCCCAAAGACAGAGCTCCAGTCTGCAAAGTTGTCGGATGCCAAGAGGGACGGGGCAGCGGGAGCGGCCGGAGGATCAGGGGGGTCCCGAGGACCCCTGGGTGTGGGAGCTGAAGGGGCGTCCGGCGGTCCTTCGTCCTCCACGGCCAAACCCCACATCGACTTTGGCACCATGGACATCGGAGACATCAGCCACGAGGTGATGTCCAACATCGAGCCGTTCGACGTCAACGAGTTCGACCAGTACCTCCCTCCAAACGGTCACCCTCAGAGCGGAGCTGGGGCCCCCCCGGCCGGTTCCTCTGCCTCCTCTTACGCCTACGCCCTGGCAGCGGCCAGCGGGCACTCGGCCTGGCTCTCCAAACAGCAGCAGCAGCAGCCCCAGGCCTCCCCGTCCTCCTCCGATCCCACCAAGGCTCAGATCAAGAGCGAGTCCGCGTCTGCTAGCCACTACGCCGAGGCCTCGTCCTCTCCCTCGTCGGGCACCCACGTCACCTATACCCCGCTCAGCCTTCCTCACTACGGCTCGGCTTTCCCCTCGCTGGCCTCTAGGGCTCAGTTCGAGTACGGAGAACACCAGGCCCCGGGGGCGTACTACGCCCACACCGGCCAAGCCCCGGGGCTGTACTCAGCCTTTTCATACATGGGCCCTACACAGAGGCCTCTGTACACTACCATAGGAGACCCGTCCAGTGTGGCCCCTTCACACAGCCCCACACACTGGGAGCAGCCTGTTTACACCACACTCACGAGACCCTGAGGCAGATCAGCTGAGCAAAGGGGGGAAATATGGGAAGTGTGTGTGTGTTTGCGCATCTCTGTATCTGTGTGTGTGTGCAAATATGAGAGCGTGTGATCATGTGTACTTGTGTTTGTAAGCATGTATGTGTGTGTGTGTGCGTGTGTGATCGTGCCATATTAGAGGTTTTTACTTTTTTTAGCCAATATAATGAAAGATGCACCCACAGGACCTAACACAGTTATAAAACAGCCACAAACTCACGCAGAATAAAGTGAGTCGTAGGCCCAACAGCCAATCAAAAACCTGAAAAGCCTAACAAACGTGTGCCATCATGAATCTTTGAGTTGAGAACACAGCACAAGAGGTAGCTGAGTGAAAGAGACACTAAGAAGTGGACAAATGATGAACTGCTGACTGATAACATCCAGAGGTGATGGGTTTGGACTGTCATAATCAGATTCTATTAACCAAACTAAAGGATTATTTGATGTATTTGTGTTATTTTATATGATTTAGTAAGTTTATTGTCTTTGTTGATATGCTACGGGGGTAACTTTATTGTGACTGACTTGATATTACACATGTACATCTGCACCACTGCATTGGGAAAAAGTCAGTTTTCTTTCACTTCAGATGTTACCAAGTGTTGTTTTCCATGGCCAGAAAAGGATAGCTGCAAATTTGTCTTTCTCTGTAGATAACACAACCTGTATCTCTGTTCTTCCTTCATTGAACTAAACATGAAGCATTTAAGGGGAAAAAATAGGAAAAAGAGAGGGAAAGAGAGCTCTTAAAGATGTATTTTAACATGTCAGTCAGTCATGGACATTTACCTCAACGCTATTTTTTTTTAATGATAGTAAAGGAGAAGTGCAACCCCAGATTCCTGAACAATGATGGTGGATCTCAGCACAGAGTACCCCCCCAACCCCCCTTTTCTTCCCCTAACCTTAGTGATACTTTTAGCTTTTTAAGGTGCCGAACAGTTTTCTGATTTTCCTTTTATTGACTTAAAAATCCTTAATTACAAAGTCCCAACCAAATCACTTTAGATAATTGGTCAACTCCTGGTCCTTCTTTAGGATTAGAATCACATGTGCAAACACTGTAGGTCACAACCGTGCCTTTATCTTTAGTTTCCTCCAACATGGCATTCAATGTGCCCCTCTCCGTCCGTACCAATGTGAATAACGGCCACCTCCATCACATGAGACATGTTTTTCATTTTATAATGACCCTTTTGCCATATGTTTGTTTTGATGTAAGTAATAATTGTGTGTCCCACCTTTGCTTCTTCCATTTTGTATAATTCTGGATAGCTTTGTAAAGTGTTTGCCATGCATTCACTCGAGTATTTTTGCTTCCTTACAAGAACAGCAATGTTGAAATATTATTGTTGTCATCTATTAAATCAATTTATTTATAAAAAAAGGTTCTTGTGTGAGACTTTTTCAGTGCAGCAGGAGCTGTGCAGAAAAAAAAAGGCATGGAGCAGAGAGCAAGTGAAAGGGGAGAAAAAACAACAAAAAACACGGTGCTGACGTGTGAACTGTAATAACAACACAATCAGAGCTCCACCAGCCTAAGCTGTTTAGTGTGTTTGTGTGTGTGGCGTAGGCTAAAATTGACTACTAATTCCCAACATTTAATCGGCTGGGGACTGCGTGTTACTGTGACACAAAGAGAGCCTTTGACTCAGAGAGAGAGACACAAGGAGGGAGAAGGGGAGGGTGTAAGGAGCCAGAGGCAAGGCCAATTTCAGCTTGGTAACTAGTGTACACTTGGACTTTTGTACATGGCTTTCCTCCCACTCTGCCCGCTCCTCTCTTCTCCTCTCTACCTGATGGCCCCTCCCTGGCTCACACATTCGGCTGCAGATTGAATCCAAGCAGAGGGCATCCAAAATTTAAATGTCAAGTTCCTAACTGGCATTGTGTTGAGGACGATGCAGACAGTGTTCAAGAAACTGTAGCCAATTCAGCCACAAAAAGTGAAGACTGGAGGATGATAGATATGAGAACTTAGAACTGCAGTAAAGAGAGGTAGCTGACTTTGATTGAGCCAGATAAGGGCAAACCCAAACTGAAGGAAGACTTGTTGTAATTTTTCTCGCGCAAATCTCAATTCGTTTTTTTATTTGAGCCTCATATTCTGAATGCTACTTACAGTAGTAAAAATGATAAATTATTGTTCAAAGAAACCCGTTTTTATTCAGGATTCATATAAAGGGTGGAGGGTTGTTGAAAAACACACAGAGGGGCAAAATATGCCTTTTAAATGGACAATGTTGAAATATACAGCAGTTAATATAGAAAATACTGACAATGATGGGGGTGTATATATTCACTTCTCCAATTTGGTTTCATCTGTCCAGAGGACACTTTTATCAAAAGCATTATGTGTTAAGTTTCAAAAGGTACTGTTATGAACTTAGACATTGAACTTGCTAACTGATATGGAGGACTACATTTTTGTTTGATTTTATTTCTCTGAGCATAAAATGGTTCAAACTTGTGTTGGCAACTGGTAACTGTGTAAAAATGGTGTAAAACAATTAACTCTATTCCAAAAATGCCTTCCTGAATGATGAGCAACAGTAATTACCTCTTAAAGATTGTTGCTTATGTTTTTCATCCTTGGTATTTTTAAAGAAAACCTCTGAAAATTGGATTAACTTTTTGTGGATATTGTATTTCAAAGGGGATTGATTTTTCACAAATAATGCATATATCTTTATTTTATTTGTCTTATTTCCATCCAACTTACTCTCTGATTTGTTAGCTGTTTTTAACACGATATGTTATTATAGATATCTTAAAATAAACACAATATTATCTTGTAATACTGGTAATTTATACATATTATTCTAATAGGGAAACTTCACTTCTGAAAGATGCCCTTTCATTATTTACTTATCAGAAAATAAGAATCCTGCTATGCAACCACAAATTTACTACCGAAACTAAAATTGGTTCAAACTTGTGCAAACAAGCAAAAACTCCTTATTCTAGCAGCTAAAACCCATAATGAGAACAGCTTTAGTTCTTCTTGGTATTAATGATCAATTCATATTCCAGAGTTTTAACAACCTGGGGATGCTTCATAACTCACAAAAAGGTCACTTCTTAAGTGCTTCGGGAAATTGGCAATTTCCAAGTTGTTTTTTATTGCACATGAGGATATGTATGGGTTTGAGAAGTACAGATGTAATTTTGTAGCATTTTTTCTTTAATTGATTCAAGGGACATGAGGTACTAATCTTGAGTGGAAGTCAATGGAGTCAAGTGGTGGGTCTAAAAGAATCCTCTTGAACAGATGTGTTCTATAATATGCCATCCCTCTATGGAATTTTAGCCAAGGTATTTCATGGAAGCTTTTTCAATAATCTGTGTCAGCTACAGGATAAATGAGTGCATAAGCATAACACTTCGTAGTTTATGGAAAAACTCCGACCCTAGTGGTGGCGACGTTGAATCTTAATTTTGAGCGAAGAAGAAGTTAAACAAACAAACAAACGGAAGTTGTCGACGTCACATCCGGGGCGCCAAATCAGCAGCGGCAGAGCGAAGTAAACAAAACCTGTGGTACAAGTTGTGTCAGCGTTCAAATAGGTGAGAATAGACTTGCAATGCAGTTTAAAAAATGCAGTGCAGTTCTTTACGAAGCAGATTAACCAGGAATTTTATCTCATACTCAGTCTTGTGTATTTGAAGAATCCTATTTGTTGAAATAATCCTCGTTTGGCGTACAGTGCTGCGACTTTACAGTGACACTTTAGTGCAACATTAGTGAATCTAACCTGTCTAATTTCTGTATAGGGGAGGATAAACAGAGTTTCTTCGACTTTTAGCCAGCAGTCATGGACCTCAGCCCGTTTGAAGCTAATAACTCAGTCAGCTGCCGGCTGGTCTCTCAGATCCCCGATGTCTGCAGGACGGAGGACTGCTGTCTTGGTATAGACGAGGCTGGCAGGGGGCCCGTGCTCGGTATGCTGTACCATTGGATCCATTTTAACTGCACGATTACATTTCCATGGATTATTCAGGTTAACAGTACTTTTGTTTGTGACATAGGGCCCATGGTGTATGGGATATGTTTCTGTCCAGTTTCCAAAAAGGAGGAGTTGAAGGACTCGAAAGTAGCAGGTAATTAGTGTTGACAGATCTTTTGGCAGAAAGCAACCACATCTTGATATAAAACCCCAAAAACTAACAAAATAGCAGAAACAATGAGGCCTGGAAACCAGCTTCAGGGATGTATTTGCACATTTTAAGTTGTTTCAAGCCTACATCAGTAAACTGAACTTCAGCACACTCCTCAGTCTTTTCTTATGTTGCCAAGTGCCTTTTAAGTGTTTCAAAATGTATACTATCTCCAGTAATTTGTTGGCATCTTGTTAGATTCAAAGACCCTGTCAGAGGAAGAACGAGAGAACCTTTTCCAAAAACTAGATGAAGCCAAAAGCTATGTAGGCTGGGCCTTGCAGATACTCTCCCCCAACACCATCTCTACCAGCATGTTACAGAGGTAATGCACATTGACTCACATCCACAGGCTTTTGGTGTTAATTTGCATGCACTGACTGAAAATGTTATTCCCTTGAAGGACAAAGTACAACCTCAACGCTCTTTCACATGATACAGCCATTGATCTCATACAGTATGCTTTGGACAGTGGAGTTCAACTAAAAGAGGTTTGTAAGCAAACTGTTGAATATAAATGTTCACTGATTGGACTTAAGTATAGCCCATTCTATCCAAAATAAACACTATGAATGTCTAATTAATAATTAATGTCTCAATTTATTTGGTGATTACATCATTTTTCTGTCAGAAGGACAGACTTACACCCCACACTAACTGACCTTCTGTCCTCTCCACTTCACCCCACTCTCCCGCCGCTGTCTGCCCATTTCCATCTCTGTGGTGTCTTTCAGGTTTTTGTTGACACAGTTGGCCCTGCAGAGAAGTATGAGCAGAAACTATCTCAGAGATTCCCGGGCATTGATGTGACTGTCAGACCAAAAGCTGACTCCCTCTTCCCCATCGTCAGCGCGGCCAGTATCTGTGCAAAGGTTAGCAATCGACTGCAAACTTAATCTCTGTGCTATTCTCCCATAAATGCATCAAGAGTCTTCATTTGAATTAACCGATCCCATGCTGGGAAGGGGATGATGAAGTCGATTGTGTATTGACATTGTTTACTACCAAGATATTATTCAACAGAATTACCGCAGAATTACATTATATTTTTAGACTGAGGGAGAAACAGCACAACTCTCACAGCAGTGGTGGGAGATAAAACACCCTTCAGGTTTCTGTTAAGAAAAGAGGATGGAAGTGAGGGGCCAAGCGAGACACAGTGGTCATTTTAGAAAAAAGGAGGCTTTTGCATGTACTTGAGCATGTCATGGCTCCATGATAGTGTTTTAGCGTGTGTAATGTTAATGTTAAAAAGGACATTCTTGGCACTATAAACATGATTTTTTAAACTCAGTTTATGGAGGAACAATTTTCTTGTTTTTGCCAATAAGCAATATCTATATGTAGGTCTGTGGAGGTGAGTCCACAGCAGAGGCTTCCAGGCTGGCTGCTCGCCAGCAGCCCTCCTGCCTGTAGTTAGTCACACTGATTCACTTTAGCCCACTGTGACAGTCTCACACCCATGGCGCCTCGAAACCCGTGCACAAATACTTTAACATATTGAGTTAAGGTTCATATTTCGCGCACAAATATGTCATTTTTTTCTTTATATGCATTATTTTCTAACTGTCTAAATACACTGGTTCATTTAGTCATTTAGTCACTGTGTGTCTGACGTTATTAACCAATAACCAATGTTCAGTTAGTTGAATTGATGAACTTTAACACTTGTCTTTTTCTTTTCAGCTACTTGTTTTTGCTTAAACTTCTGCTTGCTTACTAATTCGAAGAACTGTTAAATTAACTTCTTATTTTGATTATATGTTAGCTTTGTGTGCGACTGGTCTGATCAGCTAGTATTTCAATCTCTTCTGTTTGCAGTGTGCTGAGCAGCTTATTAGGAACTACTTTCTTTAATTGCTGTTTAATTGTTCCATTGCTGTTTAGTTGATATTTACATATTCATTGACATTTTTCTGGGTAAATAAAACTACCTGGTTCTAAGAAGCCTTCGAGTATTTATGTGGTTGACTTAATTTTTTGTGCTTTCACTTATTTTCTCCCTTTGCAGGATGTTGTCATTCACCATCTTAAACCCATCATTTTCTGGTGCTGTCTGCTGGTTTTTCAGGTTGCCAGGGATCGTGTTGTGAAAGGCTGGAACTTTACAGAAGACCTGGGCGAAGTGGACACAGATTACGGCTCAGGATACCCTAACGGTAGTAGAAATCCACAGATGTCTTGCTACTTTATTTTTTATGCTATTGTTACAGAATTATAGCTATTGTCAGGTGGAATAGGCTCCAGTGTCCCTGTTGGGAATAAGCGGTATAGAAAACGGATGGGTGTATGTATATAAGAATGAAATGCATTGAGTGTCTGCTCGGAGAAACTTATGCCTGCTCATTTCTGTTCTTCTAGACCCCAAGACTAAAGCGTGGCTGCTGAAATACCTCGACCCTGTGTTTGGTTATCCTCAGTTTGTTCGATTTAGCTGGAGCACTGCCCAAACCCTGATGGATAGCAAAGCAGTGACTGTCCACTGGTAAGCAATCTTTAGACTATATTTTCGACCAATTCTCTCAATTAATTTAAAAATACAGGTTGATTAAAAAAAAAAAAAACCCAGAAAAAACTGTGGAAAAAGACCTTTTCCAAATTCCAAATGATCTAAACTTAACGATTCTCCATTGCTTTGCTCAAACATTTGTCTTCTCATGAATTTTCTTCAGGCATCAAAATGTTTTTCCCCTCCTCCATCATAGAAAAGGAGAACTATACAAGCGCATTACAGTGCTGCTCTCTGTACACGAGAACGCCTCCATTTGCCGGAATTGTCCCTTTGATTTCCAGGTCACACTTAATGTCTGTGGTAATGATTTGACCTCAGGAGAAGAGCTCTAACTGCCGTGTGAGAAACTCTCTTGTTGAATGTCTCCTCAGGGACGATGACGAAGAGGCTGGGGAGAAGGCAGCGCAGCGGCAGAACAACAGGTCCATGCTGTCTTACTTCAGCGCCGCAGTTGGAGGCGGCGACCAAAGCGCGCCCCACCAGACGCACCGATTCTTCACCGAGCGGAAGCTGAAGAGTGTCGACGCCCTCTGAAGACGCTCGTGGGACCCCTTTGCACTGCAAATATTCTGCATAGTGCCGTTTAGAGACAAAAAAATCCTCAGCATACTCATGAAAGGACAGCATTCAGTGTTTCCAAGTCTTTTATTTCAACAGTGCCCTCTAGTGGCAACATAAGTGACTTACAAGATTTTCAATATTGTTTTTTGTAAAGGTGTAAACTCCCCAAATAAATTACATATGATAAGCAACACATTTCATTTACCAAAAAAAAAGCATACTGAACATCTATGAGAAACTGCGGCTGCAAATTGGCTCTTTTCTTTGGTTTTCACATGACATTTCTGATGCTACAATATAGTAAAAAACACTTCCAAACAGGCAATCTTGAAGGGATTTTAACAGAGGAGCTCAGCTTAAATGTTGCAGAGTGCGAGAGATGTGCCATCTGTGAATACTGTAGTATATGAGAAGGTGCACTATTGTTTTACATTGTGACGATTGTGATGGAAACAAACTTCAATGTGGTGTCAAGCTCAGCTGTGTTAAAGAAGGCCGTGTTCTATTTCTGCCACGGATTCTGATGGGTAGTCATATAGAGCATCGACAGAAGCAGAAATTGAACCCCAAATTATCTTCAAATATCTCACTGTTCACATAATAGCCGTAACTGATAACTAGATCACAGACACAACTTCCTCCCTTTTGTTTGACATGTTACATTGAAGACTATTACAACATACGTGAGGTAAAAGGAGTGTGAGGTTTGATAGGTTTTGTCTGCATATTTTTCCCTCTTAAATATCGCACCACAGTCTGTAAAGCCAACACGGTACATTCCTATCCAAAAGTCGGAGTTGTTCTCTCCCTTCTTGAGCTCTCCCGTGTCCCCGGAGGGAGTCGGTCCTCCTCTGAATCCTCCATCTCTTTCACCTGATCAGAACTTGAAGACACTTCGCACGAAATATAACACGCATCAAACTGAACTACTAATAGAAAACAAAGGAAGCTCGGCTCTCAGAGCCAAACCGACGTCAGTCCCTGTTGGGTTTTTGCCTGGACTCCTGGATCTTCTTCCCGCAGTTCATGGCCAAAGTGGAGACGGCAAACGAAGACAGGATCACGATGGAGGTCCCTACGAAGTGAGATGAGGCTCCTCTGGGGGCTCGCAGGGCTCTCCTGGGGAAGTTCATTGCGTCCATGTTTGCATTGGCAGTCACTGTCTGTGGTGCAGGCTCCATGGTTGATGGCTGTGGATTGGGCCTGGATGTCAAATCACGGAAGACGAGGCTTGTACCCGGCGATCACAAGTGTGCCACAGCCCTGGCAGAAGGTGTCTGGATCCCTCTGTCCTGAATGGATATGTACAATCCGTGTTTAGTAGGTCCATTTATTACCCACGCTTATCTTCTTAGCCTTCTGAGGAGGCTGGCTTCCGAGTGCGTCAATGGGATTAAAATAGCTGTGTTCTAAAGTGGTGATCTAATTCAGATTAAGACTGTCTGTTAGATCATCCTGTCAATGTTGCCTAATGAATGAACCGAGATGGGCCATTCACAGAAGTTTGCGAACTTTCCACTGTTAATCCCTTTGAAAAGGGGCGTTGAAATAACGAGGGCATTATGACCGGTGGCGATTTGCATCAGGAATGATTGAAATCAAAATAGATTATATCTTTATTGATCCCTGGCCCTCCAGCACGTTTAAATGAGGCTGTGTAAATGCAAATGAAATATCTCCGAAAGCATGACGGGCATTGTTCAAAATTACAGCAAATCTCCCAGTGACAGTTTATGAAAGGGTTCGGATTGCCTGTGAGGTTAAGCAGATCATTTCAATTTATTCAGCTTTTTCATTTCCATGATGGTGCTTTGTATCATGGAAAAACAGGGGTAAAAAAACTTGTGATGGAACACATGATGTAGATGTATTGACTTGAGTGCCATCTCGGACTGCTCACTCTCTAAAAAGAAACAAATGAGTACTCAAGAACATCCATATTTACTAAAAAGTCTGATTTTTGTGTGTCAAATTTGCAATGCTTTTAGCACGATTAACAAATAAGCCACAAAAAATGTGAACCCATGGCTTCATACAGATTTAATGTGTCATTCAAACTGTCTTATAAAACAGATCTTAATAATTAGGATATAAAAATATACACCTCATACACACAAAAATCATTACATTAATTTTTGAAGGACTTTATGGCATCTCTTTTTTTTAAATGGTGGACATGCAACTGCATTGAGCAGTTCCATCATTTAGTTGGGTTTGATACAGTATAAATAGCACCAGGTGCAGTAGTTATACGAATCATTAAATACTGCTAAGAGGATAGTTTATATATATAGATAGATAGAGATATATCTTGAAATTAGTTACCAACCTTTAAGATTTCTTTTGTATATGTAATGTAAACAGACATGTATAACTAGCTCTGCTGATGGAAAACAGCTTATATATTCTTATTCCAGCACTTCATACACCTGCTATATATATTTGCAAACTTTCAGTGTGAAAAGAATGCTTTGTTGATATATTAGGATGTGAAGTAATGAACAAAAACCTCAGTTTGAACAACTGGAAGTGGCTTGTGCTGTTTGCAGCACCATTCTTTGGTCCTCACACACATGACCCAGGTCTCACAGGGACAGCAGACTTCTAATCCCTGTGTTTGTTACAGACAGTCCCAGTTTCTTGTCATGAATCATTTGAAGTTGCTAATAGGATTGTACTTATTCTACCTGACACTGACAGAGAGGGCTTGGGTTCACCATCCGAGACTATCTGTGCCAATTCTCTAAAGGATCAGACTGCAAAGGTTCTGTACAATTCTTTACCTTTATCTTGACCTCATCAAAGGATTTATTATCACAATAGCCAAAACTGTACCTTGACTTTTCATGTCAGCTCTTTCTTGAAGACTAAATGACAATTCAGCAGATCAGTCATCATCTCATTTTCAACCAGTATTTCCATGGGCATCACGAACCATCTACTGGATGGAACTGGCTGCATTATATAATGATTCTAGTCCCACAGCACTTGGATTAGTTCAGGATTTTTAATCTGTGGCTCAGTATTGTGACCTGCAGTCACATTACCCACAGCCTCTTTGCAGTGGATGATGTCATGCCTTAGATTTAAATGGAATTTATTTCTGATTAATCACATTATGAGGCCTCACCGAATTTCAGAGCATGTTGTGGAAGAGTTTTCCATACATTGAGACTGTAGTTCAGGTATTATTTCCCTCCCCTTGTCCCTTGTGTTTGAAAGACACAACTTTCAGCTGTAGCAGAGGGGTTGGCATTGTTCACGTTACATTTTGGCTTTTCTGTATGGCCACTGTAAATGAAAAATTTCAATAATTATATGTACAATTCAAATTTGATTCACATTACACATGTACTCTTAGAGTGCTTACAGTTTTTACAAAGTTACAGAGGCAAGTGGCCTATTTTTTAATGGAAACTGTTAGGTCACGCTCTCAGGTCTTACCTTTGGAGACATTCTATCCTGGATACGACAAAGAGCTGAGGAGATTTAGCTTTGCTAAATAGATTCCGAGGTCAATAAATTGTAATGCTTTGTTACATAAATAAAGCGGCATTGGATAATCATGATGGGCTTCTCACTCATTAAGCCTCCCGTGGCAAAGAAAATGTGTTTCAACATAGCACATACTCAGATTTCAGTTCTGCTGGCATAATGCTGAACAGGACATGGTTAAAACATTTTTTAAATTGCTCTGCAAATTCCTGTATGATCACAGCAGCTTGGTACGCTGTATGAACGGCATGCATGATCATGCTTGGTTGCTCCACCAGTAAAGTATTTTCATGTGGCCTAGAAATTCAGTTTAGCCAATTAGAATATGTAATTATGTCACTGGTGAAGAGCAGTTTTTCCTGCATTCAGAACAAATCACTTTGAACACATTTTCTCCATATTTTGCCGATGAAGTGAAGAACAGGGCAGCATAGTGTTGTGAGTTTAATAAAAAAAAAACTGACAAAAGTAAGGTTTGGTAATTCATGTTACGGGATGTCATGGGAGACCAGACAGTAAAAAGCAATGCTCACTGCTTCACAACTAATGTGGCTATAGAACAAAGATAGCATGCTTGTGCCTTTTTCCATACTGTACATCAATTGTGAAAATATATTTTTCGATCGGAAAATTCTGAATCATGTTGGTCAAATCCCTGGAATGTGTGACTATTCATAGTCTGCTTGTCATGAACTTTGTTTTAGGGTCTATGAATTTTACTTGTGGTTTGGATTTTTCTGCATTACCTGCATCAATTGAGTTCTCTTTTTGGGTTTTATCTCCCTGGTGGTCATTTATATAATCTGTTTTTTACTCGGTTTATAGCTTTCTCATTGCTCTTATGTGTATTTCCTGTGTCTTATTTTGGTGTCTATCTTGGTTTCCTGTGTTTCCTGTGTCTCAGCTTCCTTCATTCATTTCCCTCAGATGTTCCTGGTTTTCCACATGTTCACGTTCCTTCCCTGTATTTCCCTCCCAGTGCTCTGTCGTTCCACGTTTCATTCTCTGGTTACCTTGGTTCTTTGTTCACCTTAGTTTTAGGATTTTGGTTTGTTTCCCCGGTTTAGTTTATAGTTTTGTATCCAGCTTCTGCTTCACCTTTTGTAGTGCCGTGTAAAATAAATTAAATTGCTTGGATCCCTACCACACCCCCTTCTAGCACCCCGAGACACTTCTGTATAGACTTCTGGCTGTTTTATGGGTTGAGCAAAAACAACCATGGCCTCCAGATGGCACTAGAAGAAAAGCAATCCAGGAGAACTTTGGGTTTTAACAAAACTGAAATGTATCTGCATTTGAAGATCTATTTTGTGCATTGTGCTCTGATATAATCTGATACAACATTTGAGCCTCCAGATGCTCTTTAAAATGTTACATTATCCTCAGATCATCTTGAACTGATTGACTCTATCTTTGTGAGATTATGCATTTATGGTTCACCCCTGAGACGGCCGATCGTATAGTGTTTTATTTAGACAGACTCTTTTTTCCAGGCAAGGCTTTTAGCACAGCTGTAGTCTATGACCCACTTCCAGACTGACAGGGCTAGAGCGAATGAGGAGGTGGGATCTTACGGAAAGGCCTAAAGGAAGTAGATCTGTGGGACATGGGGGGGAAGGAAAGAGGAGATGAAGAGGTTAGAGGAGACATTAAAGGGGTACTTTTTTTTTTTTCTTCAAGTGGCTTGTTAAGTCCTGCTAATGCCTCATATATGATTATTTTGTAAGTATTTCAGATTGTGGCAAAAGCGCAGCAGGAAACTATGATAAGTGGACATTTTGTCTAATCTTTATTAGAACACCATACGTGGGATTTTTATCATTTGTAATGACAGCATTACATCCATTTTTCCCCCCTTTCCTCTAGATGGAACTCATACATAATAATTCATTCATTCACCTGTGCTTGACCTGATTTAGTTTCCATATGTTTGATATGGATAATGTATTTCAAAGACTGAAGTAATATGTATTTATCTCTGTAGTATTTGGCCGTCTTTTTGATGGCATAATATTCTCACCTGTCCTTCTAGTTTCACAAATACATGTACTACTAATAAAGTTAAATAGTTTTTTCCAACATTTTTATCAGTAATTTGCAGTAATAATATGACTTAGCTTCCAGCGCTGTCTGTAACTGGGCAAGGATTGATTCTGGTGTAAAGGGTAAAGGTGTTATGTTGGGTGTGAGATTCTCTTCCAACAGCCTTGTACTTTTCGTTACCTTGTACACACATTAATTTGTTTTTCTTTACATTCCAAGCTACTGGAAGGAGGTGCTAGAGCTTCCTACTCACGGGGAACTATTAGCAAAATTATTTTTGAATTCTAAATAACTGTCCGACATTGAATTTGCCACACTAAGATATTTCCCCTAGCTTTACAAATGCATTCCCCTTATGATAATAAGTTCAAAGATAGCATTCGGTAAGCTAAAGGTAGTGGAGCGAATTTCATTAAAATCAAATTACTTGAAATTGTAATGGTAGAAAGGATATCCTCCATGCTTCTTGAAACGTGCAACTTGAAATGTGACAAAACTGAAACTTTTAGATTGTGAGTGGAAGTGTATGTGTTTGTTAATCTCTATGGGGCCACATTTGGACTGGTGCACTGTTGAGGGTGTACCCCACCTTTTGTCCAATTACAGCTGGATAGGCTTTGGCCCACTTACAACCCTCCACTGAATAAACAGTATAGCAAATTGAATGACAATCTGAATTAAATCCAAACCAAAGGCAAGATCACCTACCTTACTTAAAGGTTGAATAAAAACATCATAAAGGCTGGTTTGAAATGTTTTAAACCATGTAACAACCCAACTCAGAAAAGATTGCAAATCAGTGCTACATCGATGAGTTATCCTACAGACAAAATAGGATCAATCACAAAACTGTGAGGAATATAATT